CCATGTTTTACTGAGCACTGCATGTAATGGGTTCGCTTTATGGGTGAAAAGCTGTAATTATATTCTTTAATGACAACTAGGACTTGGGAACTTTCAGATTTGTAACAAAGGATCAGCCAGTTAGTCTAGGTTGTGACACAGAAGGAACATTTCACAGCCTTGTCCCTACCGTTTATATTGCAGCAGCAAATTATCACTACTTTTCTATAAGATCCAAATTGGCACTTTTTTACCCCCAGTAAATCGAAATTTAGCAAGAATTTAATTTTTGCTTTTTTTGTATTAATCTGCGTGTCGGAATATTCTTACTGTTTTTTTAGCAAGGTTAGGTATTCAAAGAATTTTATTTTTACATTGGTAAGAAAATTTGCTATGTATAGCCACCTCGCAGGAAATTAAGAAGTGTATGGAAAGTCAGTTTTGTAAGATGGATAAGAACTTATTTTTGATGTTTTACTTGAAACCTGTACATCAATGTTTAAATATTAAATATGACCTGAAAGTAGTTAAATTTAGTTGATAAAATTAGATCCACTCCTTTTGTAACTATTGGTTTTTTTTAAGAAATGAAAACTGAGATTATATTGATACTAGAAGGACACATTAATTAAAATTGAAACGTGCCATACATTTGTGTATGTCACTTTAACAGTCAGTAAGAAACAAGGGATTTTGCTTGTGAATTCTACAGGAAACATAAATTTTACCAGTTGTTTACTTATTGCTTATTATTAGAAGAACAGTTTGTAAAATTGTTTGGGTAATATCAGTTGACTACTCTTCATAGATTTAGGATAGAAAGTTACATTACTCCAATTAAGTTTTCATTCCTGTGTGGATTAAATATCCTACTAATGAACACCGACGAGATATTCATGGCAACAGCAAACAGGAATAAAAATAAAAACTGATAGTCAATAAAGAATTCCTCTGTGAATCTTAGTTGTTCCCAGTTATTTACAGCTTGTGTTCTATCTACCAAGATTGTTTGTCATGTGCCTCTTAGCTTCAGCTTATAGCACCATTAATATCATCTACATAGGTGAAAACTCCACATTACATTTTTGATTGATAGGGAATGTATTAGTATGTATGTCTGACATAATGGCTTGACGTTGGATGTATTCTTTAACGGGAGACAGATTGATATCAGTACTGCTATTGATTCCTTGAATCATCTACATCACTTGTATTAACCTCAATATATGCCCCTCGTTTACCGCCCATATGTTTCAATGTCGCCCTTTCTCATTTTGTTGAGAATTCCTTAATACATTTCCCTCAATTTATCACCAAATCACTTTATAATGCCAAAATTTCTCTGTACATTTGGTGGCAGTATAACAAATTAACTCATTCACCACTACATATTTTAACACGACTTGCCCAGTCTTTGATTTGGTAAGGTTCAAATACGACTTTAGGGGTGAATGGGTTAAATACGGTCTCTACCAAGTTAACCTCCATATCCTTTGCAATCCTATTCATTTTCCTACTAAATTCAGAAAAAACAAATCTTGATACTATTGGAAATATGCATCAAATGATCTGTGAATTGCCTTCATGTTTCGATGGAAAATAATAACTATATATTAAGGTACAAATCATAAAGTATGGAAAACATACTGGAACAAAACACTTGATTCTGGCTACAATACAGTACATATGTACTGGTGCATGCTTACAGATGGGTAAAAATCAATGAAATGAAAGCATAGTCTAGGATGTTAACCCTAGTTTAAGCTGGAAGTTACCCAGGTAACACGGCAATATTCCTGGTTCTTACAAGTTCAAGCTCAGCAGGTTTTATTGTACTTCGGAATTGATGAAGAAAGATTGCCACAGCCATTTGCAACTAGGTACATTTTGACTTTTGAATAATGATTTAATACAGGAATCAGAATATTACTTTGATAGTTAAAATATTCATGTTTATCTTAAAGTAGAAATTTTTGTAATTTGCCTGCTTTTCTGTGTATGGATGGAAAAGAGTTAAGGGCCTAAATTGTTCCGATCCATTCCAGGTTGTACCAATACATGTAGATTGAATGCCAGCTTCTCAAATGTCACAGAGATAAATGTCTATGTACAATCAATAATGTATGTGTTAGCTAGGAGTTATCTGTTGTGGTGGTGATAGTGGTAGGTACAGCTCACACACTAGAATGTATTGGGGACTCATTTTGTTAAAGGTACAGTCAGCATTAAGGTAGATATTTGTCTTGCCAACAAAAAGTAGTCACATACAAATTCATTGTTAATAAAAGGTAGATGTATGTTAGGTACAAATTCATTGTTACCAAACAGTAATGTTTGTCAGGTACAAATTCATTGATACTAAACGGTAGATGTTTGTCAGGTACAAATTCATTGATACTAAACGGTAGATGTTTGTCAGGTACAAATTCATTGTTACCAAACGGTAGATGTTTGTCAGGTACAAATTCATTGGTACAAATTCATTGTTACCAAACGGTAGATGTTTGTAAGGTACAAATTCATTGGTACAAAACAGAAGATGTTTGTCAGGTACAAATTCATTGTTACCAAACGGTATATGTTTGTCAGGTACAAATTCATTGGTACAAATTCATTGTTTCCAAACGGTAGATGTTTGTAAGGTACAAATTCATTGTTACCAAACAGAAGATGTTTGTCAGGTACAAATTCATTGTTACCAAACAGAAAATGTTTGTCAGGTACAAATTCATTGTTACCAAACGGTAGATGTTTGTCAGGTACAAATTCATTGGTACAAATTCATTGTTACCAAACAGTAGATGTTTGTCAGGTACAAATTCATTGTAACCAAACCGTAGATGTTTGTCAGGTACAAATTCATTGGTACAAATTCATTGTTACCAAACCGTAGATGTTTGTCAGGTACAAATTCATTGTTACCAAACCGTAGATGTTTGTCAGGTATAAATTCATTGGTACAAATTCATTGTTACCAAACGGTAGATGTTTGTCAGGTACAAATTCCTTGTTACCAAATGGTAGATGTTTGTCAGGTACAAATTCATTGTTAACAAAAGGTAGATTATTTTCAGGTTCATACTTCTTGCTAACAAAAGGAAGATATTTGTCAGGTACAGAATCAATGTGAACAAAATGTAAATATCAAATGAAGATTGATCGTCAACAAAAAGGTATGGCTTTGTTGTTTGCTGAATAATCTTTAACTAAAGGGAAATATTTTTCTAAACCTTTTGATAAAACTTTTATTTTAACAAATAAATTTTTGTCTGCTTCTCAGATTGCATAGAAGGGTGAAGTTCATCAAGATTTAATTTATCAGCAGCAGCAAAGCATAAATTGATGAACTTCGACTTCTGAGTGATATTTCATTTTCATGTTTCCTGTTTAAAACGAAAAAAATGTCAGTAAAATTGTCAAAAGGCACCTTTAAACAAAATTGGGGTACATATGGTTCAACCTTATACCATAATGTTGCATGCCATATTTAAAGTTTGTTGTCATTCTGTCTTTTCTTATAGTAATAGGTATAACAGGTTAATTATACACCAAGTGTCAACTGATTAATGTATAATTGCAGCTAATTTGTTATTAAGCATTATCTTAAACAGCTGGTATATGTTAGTGGCAAAAAGAAATTGCAGTGTGTGTGTTCCTCTGGTACATTAAAAACTTCATGATATTTCCACCATTTCTCCAGTGAAATTTTGGCATATTTTAAGGGTTTTGCAAAATATCTCCCTTGAAATATCGGGGACTCATATTAAAGGATTTGGAAAGAAAAGTAAAAAGAGGTAAACAAGTTGGTAAATGAAATTATGGACATTTTAAAAACAGCTGATTCAGGTTTACTGTACCTTGTTAACATAGTATTAGAGATTTGGGTTATGTCATTAAACTAATAGTAACACATTATTACCGCAATAAGTAGTACTGTAAGCTGTAGAATACCGTAAATTGTATGAATCACACCCAGTATCTCTATGGATAGAACTACATTTATGTTTTTTGTTGACAATAACTTATTTATATCCCTTACTAACATTAACCTTTTTGTTGATAATTATTTACCTTTTCGTTGACAATTAATGGTAGTTTATTGATAGTACTACTTGATTGCAAAACCTAGCAGCTAAGGAGAGCTTTGAGATAGTGTAAACTCACTGTTTGAGTATAGAGTATAGTTGTAGAAGGCTAAGACAATGTGGGTATGAGGTGGAGCCTTGTCTCCCCTGTGTGGTACAGATGGGCAGAACTGTTATGGTTGTACATAGCCAGTCACTCATCCTCCATTACTGTACCAGTCTGATGGAAGATGGAAAAGTCAGCAAACAAAATCAATAAGCCTGAATTCATCTATCAGGATATGACAGGCTGGTGGGGTCCTGTGATTGGTGGATTGCTCCCCTAGGAAGGCCCCACAGGAAAAGGTGACTGTTTGGCCTCACAGGCAGGTAGCTCCACCTTGATACAAAGGTTGATTTGATGCTGGCACTGTATCTGGGGGACAATGAAGGGAAACTTTTTGCACAGATATTGTTCAAATAAATATTCTTCATAATTCATACAAAAAGTTTGTACTTAAATAACATTTCTTACGACATTATGTGTAATTTCATTTGAATTTTCTACATTTCTTTATAAAATATTTATTTGAAAACGATGATTATATAAACCTATAGATATTTATAGAACTATTCTATACACCTACATTTGGTGACATTATGTGTTTCGCACCATAAACAAACAAAAACAATATGCATAAATAGGTGTATATATTTTATGGAATACACCTGACATATACACAGGAGATAAAATGCATGGACTATTTGAAGAACCGCTAGAAAATTGTTTCCAAATGTTTCTCACACCGTTAATGGACCAGGATGGACCAGGATGTACCGGTCAGGTATAATATTTCTTGGATCAATCAATGAATTTTCCCTGTGGGTGCCTCTTTGAAATGCTGAGTGCCTTGAATAGCACAGCTGTTGGTTACAGCTACTAGACTAAGCAGGGTGCTAGGTTTGTGATTGGTGAAATTGATTATGTTGATGGGCTGGACTAAGGAAGGTGAAGCCAAGCCCTAATCTGCCAGTAAGGGGTAGATCTCACCTGGGCCCTCCCAATACAAACAAGAGTTTATTTTAAATACCTGTGATGATCAAGGTGTAACCTCAATGCTAACGTTGACTTGATAACAGTAACTGGTTGGGGATACATCACATGGCTACAGACTGTGCTTACCTCAGATGAGGATTCTGTAAAGTGACCTTATTCATATATTATCAAGATGCTGAAGGAATTTTGCATTTTCCCTTTTGGTAAGTTTACCTATAGTAATTCTTTTCTGTGTTTTTAGTGTGTCAATTTTGCTTTCGTATTTGGAAGTAATACAGTTGGTATCCTTTTTTTGATGACAATTAAAAATTATCGGTCATGTTGTTGTTTTTTTAGAAAATTTGAACCTTTAGTGAAAATTCTTAAAATCATATCAGTTGACAACGGTATGTGATGATAGAAAATTGTTTTAAATGATGAAAGTCTGATAATAGGAATTTATGATAACATGGTTTGTATTCAAACAAAAACATGTATCCCTTTGAAAATAAAAACACAAAATACAGAGGTGTTTTCTTCTATATACATGAGACATGAAATTGGTTGATTATACATCTTATTGTAGAAATATAAAAAGAAAATTGTGATGTTTTCTTTGATATTTATTCCACACGAGAGCGATGATTGTGGTTTGTTGATGAGGCGTCATCCCGCCCGTGTTTGTAATTAGATGTGTGGCCAGGTGAGAATGGACACAATGGTGGCCAGGTGGGCTACTATCCTTCCCCATCCTTTACAGTTAAACACACACCTCTGGTGGGGGTCTTTTAACTGTATGTAAATGACCCGGGACATCTTAGAATCAGCTTTGTGTCTCCTCCATCACTATCTAGTCTTACCAACTAGGTAGCATTTTTACAACGGTTTTACTGTTAGGGCACACGCTTCACAGCGTTTTAGGATATGGAAATTAATTTGAACACATCTTGAGGTTTTTGAATGTTGGCACCAGGTAGCATCTCTTAATTACAGGTACACAACACTTTTTAGCTGTTAACCACAATCTTAAGTTAATGTAAATGAGGTCTTACAATGCCCTGAAAAGATACATTGTTATCTTTCTAGCATCAGTTGAAACAGTTAGATGAACAAATAAATATGTAAATTAATTCTGAAGATATCCAATTAATTACATTGTATCTGTCCTAGAACTGACAGAAGGTAGATTTTTCAGCATTTATTTTCATGCTTTCAAGTCAAAAACACCTGAGCTGGTCTTTGTACATTGTAATCTCATGTTGTGGTGCACCTTTTAGATTTTAACTTTTATATTCACCTGGAGTTTGAACTTTTTCTAATGCAAATGTATTGTAACACCTGGGTGTTTAACCAGACTTATTCAATTACCAACATCAGGTAACTTTTCTTAATGACAGGTATCCAGTCTTTCACAAGTAATATGTAAATTAGAAATGGTAGAAAGCAGGAGATCAAGAGGTGAAGTGTAATGATGCAGATATGTTACAAGTTAACGGCTGGGCTGAATTTTTAGCATCCTATGAAAAGTAACCGTTATCATAGCCCAGTAAGGAACTAATGGTTTACACCTTTGAAGTCAGGTACTGGTATATCAAATAACAGGTATACTGCGGTGAGGCTTATCATGTTACAGGTAGTTACAGACATAGTTGGTTCAGACACAAGTGTTCAGGAATACCTCAGATTAATTTTGAACATCTGTCTGTCTTTTATACCGAAGGTGACATATATTTATTGAATGTACAAATTCAATGAAAATTTCTGATTTTCGTTGATGTACAGGTGACTTAAGCTGTTATTTTGAATCGGGAACTGTGAGAAAATAATGAATTTTATACTTAAACATGTGAAAAATGATTTTAAGTTCATTAATTTTCTTCAATACATGTAGTTCATTGTAATGAAATGTAGATAATTTTGTTGATCGTTGTTTTGGTAGAGTTTAAAATAGATATCACTACTGGTGCAACTGTTATTTAATTTTGATTATTCCATATAACTGACATCTTTTGAACCTTTTTTCAGGAATTATAATTGTAAGAAATTTGACTATTTGAAAATGAAAATAAAATGAAAAAGCTTGAGAAATTAATATTTCAGTAAGGAAAAACATGATTTGTGTTGCCTCACCTTCTGTATATTAAGGGAGTTAACTCAAAGTAATAAAATTCTCAAGTGGAACTCTTCTTGGCAGTTATAATTATGTTGTCTTACCTTTTACCTTAAATAGTACATGTACAGGTTGTCCGTATATATAGAGTCACTGATTGACGGCTGGTCAGTATAACAGAATGAGCAATTAACTAAAATATCTTGTCAATATAAAAGAATCTGTGATTAATAGTATATCTCGTCAGTAGAATGAATTTGGCTTTTAACTGGGATGGATGGTCAGTATAAAGAATTCAGCGATAAACAAGCACAATCAGTAGTGCTTAGTGTGTGTGACTGTACCGATTGCCACAATTATGATTCACGATAACTCCGTTTAGATAGGTGGACTAAGTACTGGGTTCGTGACTAATGTAATGAGATGTTTTTCTGGTATTTTTATGACTGCATTATTCATATCAAACTCAAATGATAACATATCCTTAAATGTTTTAGACCACTTTCTACTCGCAAAACCAATTTAATTATCTGACGATAAAGCCAACTCTCATTACCATTGAACTCAGGTGGAAATACAAGAGGGGCTAAATATGGCAAGTTCACAGAAAATGACATGAAAAGAATGAAAATCGGCTCACATAATTTGCTAAAATGAGTAGCTAGTAAATGTCAGATTGTATGGACAAATTGATGTTTTGTGTGTGGAATGTAACAATATTAGTGAAGCTACCTTTGGCATTTATGACAGCGTACGAGCATATGTTAATAACATAAAGGGTACTCCAGTTGACGTCCCCTCATGAATATCTGAGGGGGTGTTTAGTAGTACCAGTGACAGGGGACAGATACTATCAATGGACACCTCACGTGACTAGATATTAACAGTGTCCTCAGTTACCTGATGGCCGTGATGATTTTTCCCGACACGAACCTTTAAAACGATAACTTGATCGCTGTACTAGACTTGGACACAACCTGGTGTAATTTCTAATTAGTTAATCAATTAAAATTGGAATATGATGTATTGTGTGTTAAATTTGTTGATTGAACTAATTGGTCATTAGCAAAAGCCAGAAGAATAAAACATGAAATATTCAAAATGTAATGGATTTTGAGTTATAACAGCTGACACTTGTAAGGTAAACCCTATACGAATTACCTTTACCTAGGTTATACAATATCTAAGCTTCAACAAAGTCAAACACTGATAAATTTAATACTTTTTAGGTAGATTTACAATGCATAAAAAGGATAAAGATGTTTTGTGTGCTTTGTACTAAGTATATTTATGGTAAGTTCAGATGTATCAAGATTTTATCTACAATAGATTACAGTATGAGTATCTTCAGTTTAAAAAAGGAAGTTACCATAGAAAACCATTATGATAACAAATTTGTAACAAAAGATCACTTCTTGTATATTTGCAGTCGAGAATGATGATGTTGATACAAGCATAAACAAGAAGAAAAAGGAAGTCGAGACAGAAACAGTAGTGGAGGAGAAACAAGAAAACAGTATCCATGACAACAGTGGCCATGACAACAGTACAATCAGTGACCATGACAATGGGAAGACCACACCCACCCATAGCAACCATGACATGGAGACAGATGTGGATAAAGGTAAGGTTTCAGTGTGATATAATTTGACGCATTCTGTGGTATTGTGAAAGAAAGTGCATATTCAAAATACAGGCGCTGGGGTACAGGCTAGCACTAAAGCAAATTTACTGTGTATTGATTTTTCTTTTAAAAATATATGATAATTTGCTGCTACTAAATACAGCAACTGCAACAAAGTGAACTTTTCCATATTGTGTTGTTTGCCTGTGTGTTCTCTTACTGTGTGATAATGCCATTACCATCATGCAAAGCTATTACATGACGATTTCTTATTTTTTAAAACAACTGGCATCAGTTTAATCATGTAAATGTTGTGTTATGAAAAAACATGGTATTGATTGCTTATTTAATGAACTTCAATACTTTTTACCATGAAACTGACCAAATACATTTTTCTTTCAGATGAGTTGAAAGATACGGTCATACCTGATATACCAGATAAGGTCATGATCCCTGACCCTACTACTGTAGTGAAAGAGAACCATGAGGAGGTTTTGGAGAAGCCAGTTCTGGAGCCTGAACCTGTGAAGGTTGCAGACCTGCCGTGTAAGCCCCTAGTATGTGTTGCCTTGTCAACAGGATGTGTTACAGAGGAGGAGAAGATTCAGGAATACCTGAATCGTAGTGACACGGCTGTCATCTACCCAGAGCCAGTGTCTGACCGCGAGGGTGAGGAGGAGGAGGAAGATGACAACAGCAGCAAGAACGAACCTGACAGTGGTAGGTCAAGGTCAATTAGCCAGTCTTCCACTACCTTATATGGTTAAATCAGACATCTGATACATCTGAGTATATGTGCAAACCATAAACCATTCTAAACCGTAAGACTTTTAACTTTCACCATTATCAGTATTTCATTTAAAATATATTCCCCCTGTCTTTAATTTCTTTGTTGTTTAGAATTTCAGTTACTGTAGTTATGTTTTAAAAAAATGGCATCTGTTGAATTCACTTATCTTAGTTAAAAGTGGAAAACGGTTTGGGAAAGAACAGAAGTGGACGATTTATAGTAGGACTTTGTACTATATTGCCTCTCCCTTTTACAGATTCGCTGATGCTACCTGGTGAGGAGGTGATCCTGAGGTGTATCCACTGTGACCAGAGTTTCATGCGTGCCACTCTTCTGCGTGACCACATGAAGATGATCCACCCGGATAAGCCTATAAAGTACCTGTGCCCAAAGTGTGATGAAACATTCCTTCTTAAATCCCAACTGGACAAGCATCTGGCCCTCCACTCACCGACATCCCAGTCTTGCAAGATCTGCAACAAGACTTTCGCCAATGTGTACCGCCTCCAGCGTCACATGATCAGCCATGACGAGAGCACAGACCTGCGTAAATTCAAGTGTCCTGAGTGTGGTAAGGCCTTCAAATTCAAACATCACCTTAAGGAGCATGTCCGCATCCACAGTGGCGAGAAACCATTCCAGTGTCCAAACTGCGGTAAGCGATTCAGCCACTCAGGTTCCTACAGTAGTCACATGACATCCAAGAAGTGCTGGGTGATGAACCAGAATAAACCAAGATCGCTGGACCAGAACAGTAATGCCGAGACAGCCAGTGTATCCTATTCCCCAATTCGTACTCCAGTCACCGCCATTGGTATGGAAACCATGATCCAGAGTCTAACTGCTGGCAAGTTCTCACCTGCATTTCTACATTTTGATCCGACAAAGGGAGGCCTTCCTTACTACACTCCTCCCAGTGGATATCTCCCCATGGCATACACAGTGAGACACGGAAACCCCATCAAACCCATTATGACCCCAATGATCCACCATCAGAAGCCCCTGGAGTGTCAACCCACATCAGTACCCAGCACCAGCCCCTCAACTTCAATGCCATTGTCACAGATCTCTCCAGATGTCAACTCTAACACTCAGCTCATCAGCAAGCAGGCCAGTCTTCAGGTAGATGGAAGCATTCCTATTCCAGCCTCTGTTGCTGCCACCATCGCCGCTACTGTAGCTGCTTCATTTGCAGAGACTCGTACTACGCCTGTCAGTGCCAGGAAAGAAGCTACACCTACAGATAAACCTGTGTCACCTCTTCCATGCAACATCAAGACAGAGAAATTTACGGACTCTGAGATGGATATTAGTGAGAAACCAGAGCTGATGCCAGATACTTCTAGAATCAAGCAGGAGCACCAGAATGGGGAAGGCACGCCCTGTCGATTCTGTGGTGACAGCTTTCACAGTCCTGTGGACCAGCACCAGCATGAACGGTACCTCTGTAAGCTAAATAAGGAAATCATCCATCGCATCCCAAGCGGAGAGAGTGCCAGGAACTCGCCCTGTAGCACAATGTCAGAGAGTGGCAGCCATCGTGACACACCAAATGGGAGCATCAGTGCTGAGGCTGAGACAGACACCGAGGAGATAGAAGAGTTATACAAATCTGAGAAGAACTCGCCCATGGAGAGCAAGAAATTTCGCATGAGATCACTCATCAGCGATGATCAGCTGAAGGTCCTCAAGTCTCACTACCAGGTCAATCCTCGCCCAAGGAAGTACGAGCTCATCCGCATTGGAAATGAAATAGGACTTCCTAAGCGTGTTGTACAGGTATGGTTCCAGAACCAGCGAGCCCGGGATCGCAGACGAGGCATGAACGTTCCGTATTTCCCATCCATGGCCAGGTTCAAGCGACAAGAAAGTCCCTCAGCCCAGTGGAAGGAGACTACACCCAAGACATCCACTCCAAACTACATAGCTGTGGTGCCAACACCCTATGCGCATGGAGTCAAGGTCAATGGCAAGGTCACACCTCCAAAACGTACACCTACTGGTGAAGAACAGCCTTTGGATCTCAGTGTGAAGATGAATAAACCGCCAGATGCTCATTCCGGAAGTCGGTCATCCAGCGCCACACCACCTAGTAGCCGCTCAGGGGAGACAACCAGCCGTCCAGGGGACCAAGTTTTGAATCTTAGTACTCGAGTAGGTGACGCCAGCAAGCCAGGTGTGGAAGGCAGTCTTCAGAACTCGGCCATTTACAAATATATGCAGCAGGAGGGTTTGTTTGCCGCTCACAGACATCTCCTCACCAATGCCATACTGACGTCGTCTCCTAGTCTAATTCGTCCACTTTCTACACCCACCATTCCAAGGAGAGAACTCTCTGTCACACCAACTCCATCCATCTCATCGCTTAGTGACATTGCCAGAAGCCACTGTGAACGTGCACGATCTACGCCCAGCGACAAATTTGAAAACTCGTCTGATGGACACCACCGTGACTTTGAGAATGGCAGAGAAGGGGATCACAGACTTGTAATCGACGAACAATCGGACATGTCTGAAGACGACGACAGTAGCCATAGCTATGAGTGCAGCACTGCAATGGCTGATGCGACCTGTAACCTTTCGACCTTGGCTGAGGTCAGTCTTGCAGAACACCACAACATCACAATGACTGCCGACGGCGAGATCAAGGTCAAAAGGTTACGCAAGAAGTCGTGGCGACAGGTACACAGCTATGTCTGTATCAGTGTTTTCTTGCCTTTTTACCCCGTAGTTAGTTAAATTTGGCTGTGTTGTGTGGAAATTCCATATTCATGTCTATGAATCATGCAAGACAAAAACCAGACCTTCAGACAGTTTTGTTAAATCAATAAGGCACATGGCAATGTCTACAGAAAAGTATTTCATGTTCAAATATTAGTAAAAATAATTTCAACAATTTCATCAAGAAAAAAAAATTAAAAACTGTTTTAATCATACTTATTTGACATTGACATCTGCCTCTGTCTGAATATCTGTGACGGGTTGGTCGGGTAACACTGTCCTTTCTATGCCCAGAATTTCAAAATTCTTCTTTGGGGAAAATTTAGGCTTTGATCAATTTTGAATAAATTATTATTTTCATTATCAGAAAATTTCTGTCAAGAAATATACTGTGTAAGCAGCATCTTTTTTCACTTCTTATGTTCCTCTGATATCTTAAAAACTCTGACATATTATCTTGTCTATAATGTAATTTTCTTTGCCATAATCAGACAACACACAACTCTCTTGTGCAAGTTGGAATTCATTTCTTCTTTCTTTTAATTTTTCATCCTTTTTTTTCTTGTCTTTCCTTTCCAGAACACATTTCTCTACTTTTTATTTTATTCACTGTTTCAGTCTGTTTGACACCTCTCCTGTTGGTTTCATAAAATTTCTTACAATTTTTCGTTAATTTTTATTTTTGCCTAACGTCTTATTGAACCTGCTGCTTTGCAATAGAATGATTTTAATGGTGTTTTTATCCTGAACCCTTCTCACCTTTTGCATTCCCCTCACGTTTTCCACACGACATTAGCGGAGAAAATCAGACCATTTTTCAGAGGGTTGGGGGAGGGATGTGTTAGAAAAATACTAACAAAATATAAAATCATTCAAATTAGATATCATATATTTTTATATACAGTATTAACGATTTTTTGTGACTATTAAGAAAACTTCAACAAGAGATTTTCATTTAAACTTCAAAATTAATAAGAACTTTTAAAAGCAATTATTGGGAAAATATTCAAAGTTTGAATGATTTTATTCATAAAAGTGGTCTGATGGTCTCACTGCATGCAAAATTTATCTATTAAAGTTTCACTAAAGAATTTACTGATATTAATAATTATCATTTAGAAAATAATATCATTTTCATGTATAACTTTAATCTACACATTTAGAACATCATCTTTATATTTGTATTATAGCATAACAACATGTATCACAATTTATTCATGTAGAGTTATTCCCCTTGGATATTTGACACCAAAATGCATTCAGTATTCCTTCCAATCGATGCTGTCATCCTCGTAAACCAGTGTTTTTGTGCAAGGTTATGGTTGACAGGAATGTTTTTGCGATAAAGTGCTGCACAATATGTTATTGAATAATTTTGCATGATAAAAGTTGATTCAAAGCAAATCTCCATCTACGGAAATGACATCAAATGTTTTGTTTATTCCTTTTGTTTCTCTTTTCACAAATTGGTAATTAATCAAATTTAAAATTTTGTCTAGTTCAGAGATGATTTCACAAACTTTATTAAGTGAAAAACAATAAAAATGTTGTGAATACAACATTTTGCATATCAAAGTTACTACCAAATGGAGATTTGCATTGGTTGTTATGAGGTCTTATTTTGTGTAAATACCATTGTTCACCTAACACACACCCAACCTTTGATTTAGTTCTCCTTCTAAATAGGAGCTTACCTATAAGAATGATTCAATTATTATCGAGATGACAAGATTTCTCTACCCTAAACGTAAGGCACTCGATTAGAAAATATTTCTTTCTTTTCTTTTTTAACAGCACTACAAAGGGACATAAAAACCAATGGAAAAATACAAACACTTCCTGTAGCCTCTATCACATTGTGGGTACATAAAAAAAAATACCTATAAAAATGATTCAGTTATTATCGACTATCACAAGATATCTTTACCCCAAACATAAGGCACTCGCTTAGAAAATATTTCTTTCTTTTCTTAATCTGTTTTTCACATGCAGATATACATGCAAAGAAAACTGGAGTTTTTAGGGACGAACCATTTTAACTGAAATCAAACAATAATGAAATTGAATGAAGTAATTCCATCGACTGAATTAGAATTTCAACAGATTCCTCATTAATACTTGGGTAGAGATCAGATATATAAATTCTTTTATTTGCTGTGGTATCTACAGTTTATAAATGATAAGATTCTGGTCATTTCTTTTTTCATCGAAGTAAGCTAACAATCGTCTGTCAGTGTTTATCAGTAGTCACAGTGATTTGTCACAGTCTATATATAGCACAAAGCACGTATAGTATATTACTACAGTATCTGTGACACATAGCTGTTTTCACTGTGGTTACCTCCCCTTGTCATCATTCACCAAAACAGACTTGTTTCTCGGGATTGATAGAAAGTCATTTCTAATCAACTTGAATTGCATTAATTTTAGTTTGATGTTTATTTTGTATGGAGCATTGATATGAATGTTTTTGTTGATTTGTTTGTTGTGAAGTTCAAAATTTTTTGTTGGTTTTAAAATTTTTGAATTAACATCCTAAGTTCAAATCTAATATATCATATACAGGAAAGAGATCTTACAAATCAGTTAGTTTTAGAATTATTTTTTGTAGTTTTTTAATTTTGAAATTACAAACAAATATTTTGAAATGATGGCAATATAGGTACATCATTTGATTATTTTGGTTCAATGGAAGAAGTCCAAGGAACAAACAGTAAGTGTCTCAAAAAGAAAACAAGTAAGTGTTAGAAAATCGAAAAATGTAAGGCAAACATTCTTCATCTTATGGAATAAATCTTTCTTAAGGATTACATGATCATCTTTAAAATGTGAAAGAGGAATTTATGAAATACAATAGCGATACCACAATATTTTTTCTTGGGGTTTGGAGGGGTGGGGGTTCTCATTAAATTTAATTTTAATAGTTTTGTAGTTCAGTTTTCATTTTATAAGAATACAAATTAAAATTATAACCACAGGCACAAAGATGTTTCAAAAAAAAAATCCTATTGACAAACTATTGTCATAGTGACATTGTTTTGTCCTAGTGACACACTTTTCTGCCCCCGTGACACACTGTTCTGCCCTCGTGAGGCACTCTGTCATAGTGACACTCTGTTATAGTGACACACTGTTCTGTCCTAGTGATGCACTGTTCTGTCCTAGTGACACACTGTTCTGTCCTAGTGATACACTGTTCTGCCCTCGTGATGCACTCTGTCCTAGTGACACACTGTTCTGTCCTAGTGACAAACTCTGTCATAGTGACGCACTGTTCTGTCCTCGTGAGGCACTCTGTCCTAGTGACAAACTCTGTCATAGTGACACACTCTATCATAGTGACCCACTGTTCTGCCCTCGTGAGGCACTCTGTCCTAGTGACAAACTCTGTCATAGTGACACACTCTATCATAGTGACGCACTGTTCTGTCCTAGTTACGCACTGTTCTGTCCTAGTGACACACTGTTCTGCCCTCGTGATACACTCTGTCCTAGTGACACTGTTCTGTCCTAGTGACACACTGTTCTGTCCTAGTGACACACTCTGTCATAGTGACACACTGTTCTGTCCTAGTGACATGCTCTGTCATAGTGACACACTATTCTGTCATAGTGACATGCTCTGTCCTAGTGACATGCTCTGTCACAGTGACACACTGTTCTGTCATAGTGACACACTCTGTCAAAGTGACACACTGTTCTGTCATAGTGACATGCTCTGTGATAGTAACACACTTTTCTGTGATAGTGACACACTGTTCTGTGATAGTGACACACTGTTTTGCCCTCGTGAGGCACTCTGTCCTAGTGACACACTGTTCTGTCCTAGTGACACACTGTTCTGTCCTAGTGACACACTCTGTCCTAGTGACACACTGTTCTGTCCTAGTGACATACTGTTCTGTCCTAGTGACACACTGTTCTGTCCTAGTGACACACTCTGTCCTAGTGACACAATCTCTCCTTATGAAATGCTGTTCTGTCTTACTGACACACTGTTCTGTCCTAGGGTATGTGTTTACTTTTGTTTCTTCAGCACACTTTCAGGAAAGTAAGGTTTCTACCAAAACCGTTTTACATCATGACACAGCTTTCCCCTCCCATAATTCTGAATAACTATTACAGCACTAGGACCAATACACAAACACACTTTCAAGAACAGAGGTGACAAAAACTTTATGGAAACAATTCGAACTCATGGTATCTTCATATAAATGTTGACTTCATAAATAACTTTCAACTTACAAATATTTCTTTTGTTTTAACCATGAATATCAAAGTGTCTGTTGCTAACCTGCCATATTGTTTTGTTCAGATGGAAGCTGAGGAGGCTCAGTTGGAGCTTGATGAGTCCTTATTGGATGAGGATCACCCTTTCCGTAAGAAACGTAGATCTTGGAAAAATCACCGCCTGGACTCCGAGGAGGGCTTGTATGCTTGTGATCAGTGCAAGAAGATGTTCAGCAAGCAGAGTTCTCTGGCCCGCCATAAATATGAACATTCAGGTAGGTCCCTTACTCTGGTAATCAGTTTGACAAGCTTGGTGCAGTTTACTGAAAACTAAATGTGTGTTTCAGGTTTCCTGTTCGGTATAACTACATGTGCTTCTAAATAGAGCTGGGTATTGTCTGAAGTAATGGTGATTGCAGTATCGTGGCTATGCAGTACTAAAAGAAAATATTAGAAACTACCATGATGCATTTCATCAATAAAGGATATTTTATTGCATATGTAATAGTGAACAAAACTACACAAAAACAGATGTATACCTTCACATTTCATACCTATATTACATTTCAACCACTTTGTAAGTTTCTATCAACATTTGTGACAGTTGTATGACCATTTGTTCTACAGGGTTATTGGTATTTTAATGAGACCAACTTTTTTTTACAGGAGCCCGACCATTTTCATGTGAGCTTTGTGGAAAGGCCTTTAAGCACAAGCACCATCTGACTGAGCACCGACGCCTGCACAGTGGTGAGAAGCCCTTCCAGTGTAAAAAGTGTGGCAAGCGTTTTAGTCACTCCGGGTCATACAGCCAGCATATGAACCACCGCTACAAGTACTGCAAGCCAATGAGAGGCGAGGAGGGCCATGATGACCACGAAAGCCATGATGGACACGAAATGATGGACCTTCATGATGGGTCCTCCTCACCATAGGCTAACCAATTGTGTTTAATCTGAAAAAAAATGTCTGCTTGAGGTTGACCAATCCAGTGTCATCTAGCAAATAGGGAGCTGTCTGTCTCTGCAAAAACATTATGTGATGGATGCTGATTGGTTCATATCTATATTAATTGACCAATCATTATGACTTGTACAAAAGATATACATGTGTGTAAAGTGACTTTAAATGAATGCTGAATTATTGACCAATCACAAGTCCTCTTATTTCAAGAGTGCAGCTGCTGTCTCATTCATTGAGAATATGAATATTCATGACTTGTATTTAGACTTGATTCCAGTATTTTTGTGTGCTTCATAAGTGGAAACAAATTGATACTTTAATGGATAATATCCCTAATCATTCCTGTCATACACGTGTTGTCATTTGTTCAGTTTTGGTAACTTAACATGTCATAAATCACATTTCTCACCTCTCATTTGTCAGCCATTTTGAAATTCATGTTGCAACGGAGTTATCTCTAATTTTGACACCATGGATAAAGATACAATTTGTGCACGAAAAGAAGGCAAATAACTGTCAAAATTTGCTAGAATTTCTCAGTTCACATTTAGTGCTGTATTTTAAATATGTTAGCAAGATAAAGAGCCCAATGTAATGCTTGCTTTGTAAATATCTCAATGTATCCATGTGTTGCAAGTTTGAGATATTTTTGCATAGTGCTTGAGGTAAAGCCAACCAGAGATTTTGATGGTTGATATTCAATTATTGAATGAACAAATCAGAGTTCATGTTTCATATTTCATTGGCTGACATTTTGATCTGATAAGACTGTGAGACTGTGATGCTGACTTTTTGTGTATTCTGTTTAGGTAAAGCATACCTTTGTTGTTTTATTTTTGTAACAAATCATGCAAAGTGTTTTTCACTTGACAATTCATTGTTGATCTGTTGTAGGGATAAGTCATCAAAAATGTTGTCATTTGCAAAAATGGACACGTGTGACCACTTAAGCCTGTGTACTGTACCAGTATCATATGTATAAGGTTATGAAGCAAGACATAAGTTTCGAAATATGTCTGTTGACTTCAGAAATTCAATATGATGAATCTTACACAGCAACTGTATCATTTCGTCAAGTTTACAAATGATTTGTTTTCATAGTTAAAAATCTTCAGTTTCATGTATTTTAACTTTGTTACGATTTTGTAATGTAGTTGGTTTGTAATGTGTTAACATTGTCTGTAAAATTTCTATTTGTTTCATAAGTGACAATGGGACCATACATATGTTAATGATACCTTGAAGTTGTTCATAGTAAATGTATTAGATGAAGATGTTAAATGTATGAAAGGGATTCCTTGCTTGGTGTTTTGGTTGGAAATCAACAAACAACCAATCAGTACTTGATACTAAATACTCAATTAATTAACCAATAGAATTCATTGTTAAATATTAGAATTCAATTGGTAACCAATCTAGATTAGAATTTGTTGTCAATCAAAATCCTTTTTCTTTCATGCCATACAATATCATGTGTTTATTCTGTTTATTTTTTCATATCACATTCTTGTCATGAAGTATATTCATATTCGGTTTTATTATCACTCATTTTGATGTTGCATGCTCAGATATTTTTTAATGATTATACATTTTACTTGGATGAGTAAAAATGATTATACTGGTTACTTCATAGCAATTTCTTAGCAATGTGTTCAATCCTGCTACGTACCTCATCCTTTAAGTTTTTAAGAAATTATCCATACAAACACATTTCAATCTTGTTAAGGTTGAAATTTCAACACTTCATTTCTGACAGTTTTATCTTTATACTTAAAAGATCAATTTTATTGTTATTTTGCAATAATGTTTGTGCAATGAGAACGTCAAATTTTGTTTAATTTATTTTCACAAGTTTTAATTCTGTTATACTTGTAACACTATGAGATGCCGTATCTTGCTATCTTGTTACAAATGACTGAAGCACTTTATGTGGTTCTGCATATTAAAATCCCACCGTGTTATTTTAGAATTCTAGACTTGAGTATTAATATCCTACTACTGCCAAATTTTTATGTTTATTTTTTACCGCAAGAACTTCTGCTATTCATTTGTATATTTTGTGACTCAAGTTCTTCCAAAATATCACAAATGTGATAATAGAATGGTATAATCCCTCAGTATAGCTAGTACATGTACCTCACAACAGTTGAGGTTGTTGCTGATGCAGTTTGACTTTTAAAAATGTTGCTTTCAGGTGGATAATTGATAATTTTATCCCTTGGACAGTATTTACACATGTATATGGATAGATGATGAGAAAACCATGGCAAGTCTCAAACGTGTATGTTATCTGTGTATAAATTGTAATTAACTTAGATTTTAGAACTTTATTTAGTACATATTGATTTCTATGATCTGCTAGAATATTTTACTGATTTCAGATGGTGTCTATGTTACTTGCAAATATTTTCTAAGAGTTATATGTGTGATGTACTTGTATATAAATATATACTCTTTTAATTTTTTATAACAATTTTCAAAGGTTGTTTGTAAATAGAACAGAAAAATGCTCTGGTACAATATATTCGAACAAGGGACATAACTCTCCACTTTACGATGTTTTTTCGGGTCATATGCCGGTGGTAAAGTTAAATGAAAATTGAAAATTTCTGAAAGTTTATCCCTAAAACATTTTTTGAGCAGAAAGTAATGAAATTGGAGAAACTTTTTTGAAATTTGAGCTTTTAAATTTTGGAGTAATACTCAATTAATACTTAATTTGATTTTGGACAGATGTACTAGAGATGTTTCACTCCTGTGTTGTTGCTATGTCATGTGTATGTGTGCTTGTGTGTCTGAATGCTAAATGTAAAATTATAAAATCAAAAAAATGATCAGGCCAAGGAAAGTATTAACTTCTGATAAATTAAAACACATCCCTTTAAATAATAGTCGATTGTGGCATTCATTTAGTAATTTTAACAGTATCACATGATGAGAAATACGATTTAACTATACAAGACAACATTTCAAATTTTGCAAACCCATTGGTTTCGAGTACATGTACCAGTGTTTATTAGAGATTTCTATTTCTATCTTTCGACAGTATCACATCATTAGAAATAAGGCTGAAAAGTTCAAAAAAGAAATTTTGTAAATATAAATTCTGTAACAGTTAATTTATAGAAACAATTTCTGCATGATAATGTTTGATTGAGAATACTATGAACTGATTTTAACTCCAACATACTCTTAAATTGATTTGTATTTTGTTAAGCTTTGTTTTTTTGAATGCCAATAATTTATCGGAGATTAATCGCTTACCTGCTATGGCCTGACGACACATCAAAATCCGTGGTAGTCTTCCAGTGTTAAAGTTTGTTATTGTTGATGTTTATTTGTTGATTTGTTATCTTGTTGGATTAGGTTTAATTACACCAGACCTTGGTGTCTAGATAGATTAAAGTTGTGGATGTCATTTACAGTTGTCAGAAACTCATAGTCTCCTCCTCATGTTAAGGATTCATTCCAGTTCTCAAGTACCTGTCTAAATTTTATACTTCTCACTCCTCTCGCTCATGCAAAACTTTTTTTTGTATCTCGATATTGTTAGAATTGAGTAATTCTCACAGCTTAGTTTCAGATTTTGTAAAAATGAGGTGACGAGATTCGGATTCATTGTAGCAAAACATTATTGTATTGAATTATTTTGAAATCATAAACGACATTGTTATTGCTTCTGTAGTGAAAATCTCTGTAAGGTTCGGTGATTTTTCCATGTTTGGGAGTAAGGCCAGTGTCTCACAGTTGTTTTTTGCATCACTGGTTAAAATAATTCACAGTCGTCAGGAACAGACATTCTTGAACAATTGATACCTACTTATGTGCCAAATATTCTTGTTTCTGACTCTATTTTAAAGGTCACATTTCCTGATGATTGACCTTCATGGTGAATTCATTTGTGCCAAAATGAAAAACAATTCCTGTCTTGTTGTATGTGGCTTTTGTTATCAAGCTGGTCATAGTGATGTTGTGGGGTTTAGGGGTAAACTGACCTGTGGTCAAAACTGTAGATGGGTTGTTTCAAGTCACCATTTCTAAATACACCCTTTTTCTTCAGTTATTATATTGAAAAGTTAATATTTTCATGAAAAAATAATTTGTGCCACAGCTAAAATGTCTTGTCAACGTTTACAAATCTAAGGGAGACTATCCACTTAAAAAATCATAGGTCTTCATTTTAATTTTTTAGCTGGATATTCTTTAAAAATGAAAACGTGTATGTTGTCAAAGGTTTGTTTGTTGTGTACGTGTTGATAAATATTCCTTGTCAAGGTTTCCTTGGACATCTAACCTAACAGTATTAAAGACTGATGTCTTCCTGATAAATATTCCTTGTCAAGGTTTCCTTGGACATCTACCCTAACAGTATTAAAAACTGATGTCTTCAATTATGTAATCCATGTATATACAGTTGATATATCCTCGGACTTCCATTTCAAATAAGTCAGTATATTCCACAATAATCATTAATATATTCCTCACCCCTTTGTATAAAATCCATTTTCCATTCTTTAACATTATTTAAACAAATGTTCAAACAATAATATTGATATTTTGAGGTCAAAAATTAAATGTAGTTTTTGAAATTTCATTGTTCAGTTAATAGCATTACTGTAAAAAAAATCGGGTTTTGATTCCAGTTTGAATATTCACCAATCTTTGATATGACTGCAGCATCTTAATATCTATAAGATCTTACAAGATTTGTGAAGTTTTTAAAGTTTAAAAGACAAAAATTACCTATTAACATTATTGTTTGAACTTAAACAACCGGGTACTGTAAATCACCAAATCTGAATATTTCCTTTCTGCATGTGATGTTTTCATTCGTGAATGAAATATTCAGGACATTTTGTTTATTCATGAATGAAAACCTCATGAGACGTTTTGATTTAAATTCATAATACATGTCACAAATTTTGAGTGATAAACAGTATCTATCAATGTTATGGTGTTAAGTGTTGAGAAAGGTTTAAGGTCAGTGTGGCCTTCTATAGCCTGGTTTCTTTGATGCATGTTCTGTGTACATACTAACTATTTATGTCTCTTTGTGCCAATATTTCTTAAAAAATAAATCTGAAAAATTACGATCCTAATGTTTGAAAACAATAAAATATGAAAAGAATAAGTGATGGTTTTCCACCTGAATGAATCTTTAAGTGAATAGTTAAGTGATGGTTTTCCACCTGAATACATCTTAAAGCGAATAGTATTGTGAAAGTGTTTTACTGCTAAATAGTAATTTTACTGCTAAATAGTAATAGTTGCTTTATCGTGGACATACAAAATTAACGTCACCCACTAAAAACAGTATTACATGTGTTTTATATAATAAATAATGTGCCAATGATAATTTCCTTTTAACAACCTGTAAATGAATTTCCATTTATAAAGTCCTGCATGTATTATCACTCAAATATGTATTTTTGTTCTGAAGCAGTTCTATGTGCCAATATCAAAAATAGAAAAAAAATAATAATACTCAAACCGTTCAGTATTCCAATGCTGTGAATAATTTTGTCTTCCTGAAATATTGTTTACAATCATACGTTAGAATGTTAACCTTAGTTTAGTTGCCCAGTAATGCCAATAGCACAGTCCTCAAAACCATGTCAGTATTTCCGTGCTTTTAATATCCACTAGTCGTCTTCCTCAAATATCGTGTACATGTATTTGTTAGAATATTTACTGTAGATTTAGGACTGAAGTGTGAACCAGTGTCATCAATTCTCAAGAAAGTGTCTTCCAATCACTTAACAATTCTCATTTGTTAAAAATGACATTAAATAAGCTCAAAGAAAAATTACATAAGAATTTCGTGTATGCCAAATAACTATTAAATAAAAAATACATGTTTTAAATAAAACCCTGTTCTTGCAATACCAAATCATTTTAAATGTATCGCTTCAGTATTAGAATATGTTATATGTGTATATACAATGTAAAGTGTAAATATTATCCTAAGTTGAATCTTGTGAAAGCATAATATTGAATTGTCCCTTGTCAAAGCAAATAATCTTGTGAATGCATAATATGTAATATATTATTTCAAATTTGATAAATTCAGAAATGTAAGAATTTGAAATCAGGTGTTTTAGATGCATGTAAACTTTACTTATTTAATATATATCCAATATCCACGCTTGTTTTGTATTTAGTATAGTGCTTTATACTGTTGCATAAAAACGTGTTTTCTTCAATATTCAATTCATAAAGTCATGCATGTATTACTTGTATTTAGTATTTACATAAGTCTCAGTATGCCATAGTGAAATTTGCAATACAAAAACGGCTTTAAATGGCAATTAATCAAAATATGTAGTATCTTGTTGTCTCCTTAGTTCTATCTTATGTGAATTTCTACGTTGCCATAATATTTATGTATTAGTTTATCGTTAGTTAAATATGTATAATAAGTGTGTACTGCCCTGTGGTTAGTATTTACTTGTAGATCATCGTCCCAGATCTTAATCCTTTATACGAGACTTGCCATGGTTTCAATTAAATCTGTTCCGTTACTTTTGACAGCTTCCTCAGAATTACAGGTGTCAGATACCTGTAAAAGTCACAAGTGCCAAACAGAGAACATAGTCCCAAGTATTACTCCTATTTTACAGGGTTTTGCCATGTTTTACTTATACAATCTGGTCATAATTTATTTAATGAAGCAGCAATATAACCATAGAGATAATTAAATAGATAACTAGTGTTGAAATACAATCAAAACCAACTGATGAATCTAAAACCTCATCAGTAAGGATTTTTATGCTATTTGAAATCAAAGTTACTTAATGTAAAGATTCCTGTTGATTAGGTTAGTTTTTGTTTCATTGTTATTTTCAAGTCATTTGTTTTTTTACCCGATTCCCATTCAAAGACTCGATCATGAGTTTAATCAAACAATTTAGTATCTAAGACTTACACTTAGAGAAAATCAATCGTTTGAATACTTATAACAAGATGTTATATATTAAAACAAAAAAAATCATACTTCAGATGGTAATTTTTGATATTTGATTTAGAAAGTTTTAATTATTTGAAATCCATTATTGAAATCATATAATAGAAATTATAATCATGTTATTGAAATCATAATCTCCTATATATATGTGTTTGTGAATCATTGTAAAAAGTGTAATTAACTATGTGTGTGAATGTAGGTGTACATCAGAAGGGATGAGTCCGTTCTAGTCAGGTAATACCAACTGGTATACAGTGCAATATCACACAATCCTTATGTATTGTAAGCTCCCGGTCAAAGTCGCCATCTCGGAATTCACCAAAAAAACAACAACAGAAAACAAGGGATACCAAGGGATATATATGTGTAACCTATGAAACATTATCAGAGATTACACAATTAGTTGGAAACACTATATATTTTTTAATGGTGATGTTATCGATTTATCTGAAAAATTATCTTTGATTTTTTATAAATCTTTTTCCTAAATTAATTTATCTCTGATAAAAACTTCATCACATTTGTCAGAAGTGACAATCAGTTGGAAACAAAAAATCTCATTTTCTGTTAAACAATCTTTGCTTTGTAGATTGATCTAAAAATAATCTTTGATTTTTATTATTCTTTTTTCAAATTTGATTGATAGAGCTTTAAATTATTTTGATACTGAAATAATACTCGGACCTTTTAAACTCCTGATCAGAAATTAATTTTAATTGTTAGAAATTTGTTAGAAATGGAAATAATACCCTTTATTCTAGTCACAGTGTATTTATCAGACTTTAATACTTAGGATAGGTTGTTGTGTTGTTGGTCGTGTACTTTGAATCATTTAAAACATAATGTGTTTAATTCCAATTTTGAGAAGAACCATTATTCGATTCATTTGCCCATTAATGATTTTAAATTGTTTTGATCATGATGTTTTATTGATGGATGTTTAATGATGTATTGAGGAGTTGCTATTTACTACTCATCAGCAATATACCGTTCTTGCCATGGATGTAAATAATTGATTTGTATCTCGATATTAAAATATATATGTATATTTGCTAAATGTATATGTGTAAAAATGATTTTGTAATGCAAACTGGTATCATGGATATTGATTATGAATATTTGTATAGTGAAACTGAAAAATAAAATGACTAAATCTAGTCTTGCTGATTTGATTTATGACATGTGTTGAATGTAAACATTGTTTTAACGTTTAAAGCCAGATAATGGAACACTCTTAATTTTAAAAGAATATTTCAATTTTTAGTTGTTACTGTTTCCATCCACTCTGTCTAAATATTTTATTTTACTGTTTTATTATAAAAAAAAGATGCATTGGATAATATATAGAAATAAGAACAGAAAAAGTATTTGGTTGCAAAGTTAAATTCTAAACCGAAAATAAATAAAAGAAAAAAAAATCAAAAACAAAAATGTAAATGAATTTACTACATGCAGAGGGAGGAGGAAGATATGTTAAATTCGTATTGTTGAAGGGAGAGAAAGAAAATGTCTTAAATTGAAATTATTTAGGGAGGAAGCTTGAAAATATTGAAGGGGAAAGGAAAAAAAAATTCAACTTGGAAGTAGGAAAAGGATTTGTCTGTTCTGTCAAAAACAGAAAATTAGGAGCAGAGTGGTGGACCGAACTATTCTTAGTGACCTTACAATTATTTTTAGACACCCTTACCTCACCTTTTAGTGTTCCAGCCAACTGGCAGCACTTGTTTAGATATGCAAAATTTTACTTTATTTTGAACCCATCCTTTCCTAAAAATATTTATAACTTTAACCTATATGTCACAATTATCTGTATACTTAAGTCACACAGCATAAAAAAGGTTAACATATTTGAGGATTTGGGTTCAAAAAAGAATCTGATCTCTTAACAAAACATTTCCTGTTAATCAATAAGGGAAATTTTCACGGCCATATTTTCTTAGGGGAAAAAATGTTTCTTCATTTTCAAACAGTATTTGATAATAGCATTGCTCATACAAGTAGCTTTTATATAATTAAAAATGATAAACTCACTAAAGCTTTTACTATGACTATGTTTTAAGACGGGTTTACACCCAAAAAACATACACTGTCTCAGAATTTTTATTTTTTCTATCTATGTGTTATTTTTATTTAGTTGAATTTATTCAAATTTTACTTACAAAATATTGTACATAGTACATCAGATTATATATAGAAAGTGTATTTTTGTGTAGATGCTTCTATAAGATGTAACACTAGCGTTAGATTCATATGGTGTATAACGGGAAAATTTCTTGTGTTTTTCTTCCACAATTTGACATTTACAAATCATTTCACGGATGTGAAGTTTGCAGTTGGCTGGCATGTGTACAAATATCACTAGCAGTACTACTATTCCATCTTTTCGTATTGCAGAGTTATCTGCTCTTGTGAGCAGGTATTGATTGTTACATCATTTATTTGTGAGAGTTACGTCATACATTTTTGGGAAAACGACGTAATTTTCTCACAAACTAATGACGTAACAATCAATACCTGCTCACAAGAGCAGATAACTCTGCAATACACAAAGACGGAATTTGCTGTTCCATTAAAGTATGGGTTAAACTGTGAATAGAGATACACAGGTAAAGCTTCTTGCTTTACACTACATTGATGTTATAAAGAAAATAAACTACTGCTATATTTGAGTGTCTTGAACTGATCTGCTTGTATAGACAAGTGTTTAAAGCTCACTAATAGGTAATTATGATATTTTTATGTGAAGGGATTTTTATTAAGGAAGCTCACTATCTGATAATTATGATATTTTTATGCCAAAGGACTTCTATTTATGGAAAGTCTGACAATCTTTTTTGTTGTCAATGAACTCAAATATCTTGGACATATTTTTAACAGGTGGATAATATCAAATGTATATGTACAGATGTTACAGACAGTGTATGACTACTTTTATCAATATGAAATTCGACATATGGTTAGTTGTTTCCAATTTCAATCAGGTAATAGAAGATTAAATGAATTGACTGTTACTTCTAATTAAGAACTAGTGTTTTTATTAACAGATAAGATTGAAGTTCTCCATAAAGGTTTAGCGGTCTGTAGAATTTTTGAATTAAAGCTAATATTGAAAGACATTCATAGGAGTATTTTCATCACTTAGGGATTATTCCCAACAGAAATGTCGCCCTAGTTATGTGTGCTGTGGAGAAGGACAGCAGTGTAAACATTGTTATTGTCTTGTACTATTGTCATGGTATCTTAGGTTTGCATGTTAGGTTACGTCAGTACAACTTAGTCTAGTTCTATGTGGATTATTTCACCGACTCCTTGTCAATGATACCAGCATCCTTTCGATCATGTGTATATTTTGGAGTAATTGATCAGTTGAATCAGATTGTATTCAATAGATCTTGGGTATATGTGTATAACATTCAATCCAATTTTTTGACTACTCAAATTGATCATGTAAGAACAGAATTCTACATGATTTTGTGAATATTAAAATCAACTGATATTCTTGTGAATATGCTACATTTGATTATGTAATAACACCTACAATTTGAAATGTAGATATATGTAGATTTTTTGCTCAAATGATGGCAATAGGTACAAACGTTTTGGTTTTCATCTATATAAGTAATTTTCTCTTGAGCAAGATCTAGAAAAGCACCATAAAGTTGTCACAGAAATTGTGATGTTTTCCATCCCATGCATATCTATTGCTATGGCAAATTTCCAGTCCCTCGCCCCAGGGGCACTTTCTTGTTATGAACAAACATTGTTAGGACATGCATTGCTAATTCCAGAAATCTGTAAATAGATTTCTCACATCTTTAAGGATATTATTAAAATGTGAATGCATTTTCCTTTCCAATAAAAACGTATGCAAAAATACCATGATTTTCTGTTGTTGTTTATGGCTGAATGTCTAAGAAATGGTATGACTACGATCCTTTGTACGAAGTGATGTCAAAGATTAAGAAACAGGACAAGTTGGCAATTTCAAAGACAACATTAATTCCCATTGGATAAGTTCAGGTCCAACGTTCTGAAGAAAAAGATGGGATAGGCTTAGTTCTTGATTCAGTTTTACCAAAATAAGTTTTTGCCGTTTTAATTACTTGCATAAATTTATTAAATGCATGTTTTGTAAATTTAATTGATAACTTTGTAAACGTGATGTTGAGTTAAGAATTATGTATTCGGATTCACATCCTGTGAAGGGCAATACATTTTGATGGTAAAAAAAATCGTTTGATAAAGTGAGATTTGTTAAGTTGTAACAAGTTGTGAATTTAAGATATTCAAACTGAATGTAATCCTTCGTGTTTTGAAATGAGCTTTTCAGACTCACCTCAAAAGGAACTATGACCGAAAGATGTTGATCAATATACTCAAACTTTGAACATGGGGGCCAAACAATTCTGCATATTTCAAGAGGTGAATAGCAGAAGTAATTTGTCTTAACTTTACAGTTAAAATCACAACTTCAGGAATATACATCATAATAACTGTATCAATTAAAATATATGTACGTACCTTTTAGCTAATAAGATGCTACTTTGCCTGTTCAGCTGTCCGTACGCATCTTGCCAAGTCCGTAATTTCTGAACCGCTAAATAGTATTCTGAAAAATAAATTATGACCAGATGATGCGTTGCATATTACTCCCTGGTACAATAATCGCGAATAAAGAATAAGTTTGCCGACGCAGAAACACAAACAAAATAAATTAATCACTTACTGCACCATAATAGCCATTTCACTTACTGCACCATAATAGCCATTTCACTTACTGCACCATAATAGCCATTTCACTTACTGCACCATAATAGCCATTTCACTTACTGCACAATAATAGCCATTTCGTCCATTAAGATTCGTCAGCGGTAAGTACTAAAGAATAAAAAAAAAATGCAAATCTTTGTCATCTGTTTCCGAAACATATGTAAAAATACATCCCTCTATTACGTGAAACGTACACTACAGCAGATAGTTTGTTCATGACGTAGGATTGTATGGAAAACGTGCCAGATTAAACTTCACCTACAAGATATTGCGAAAAGAATCGGTAGAAATAGGCAGAAAAATTGCCTACTTAGAGAATGTTTACTGCACCATATTGCAAGCTTGCCTATTTAGGTCTCATCAGTGGTCACAAGGTCGAAAGAAAGAATCCGAGTCAAAATGTTCCGAATCATATGTAAAAAAAAAATCAGCAAAATGGAGAGGTGCCCATTAAACCTTTAATAGGTTACAAATTCACCATTTCTGGCTAAAGTAAATAATTTTAACTAGTATTTCAAGCTACAAGGTTAAGGCCAACCTTGGTGACTGATAATCCACCAGCAGAATCAACCTCCTTGTTACTTAAAATTATTAACAAAAGTACAACTAAGAAAGCACTTATTTCAAAAAATATTTTGCTGATGCAGAATTGATTTGGTTTTATTTTGTTTAACGTCCTATTAACAGCTAAGGTCATTTAATGACGTACCTCCATGTGTGTTGTGTAAGCATGTATGTGTGTGTGTGTGCTGGAGACAGGATATGTTGGTGTATTTGCCTCCTTGTGATAGCGCAGGGCGAACGCTCAGCGTTAAAGCCAACAGTGAGGTATTGCCAAGCGAGGCACTAGGAAATAAAAGGTAGTTAGAAATAGAGAAAAATATGAAGATCCCACCTATTACAATTAGTGCAGCAGATTTACTCTGGTCGCTTTTGTGTCCTCAAGTAGAGGGCAGGAAAGCAAATCCCCACTTCTGTAATTCGTAACAGCAGGTATAATCTTTTCTCGATCCCCGACCTGCAGGGATGCTGCTGATTTACTGCACCATTTGTCCATTTCGTCCGTTAAGAACTTATAAGTTGCACTAAGGTCCAAAGGATGAATATCCGTGTAAAAACTGTTGCATATAAACTCCATCTAAAAAGGTTAAGGCAAGCTTTTGGGTAAGTATACCCAAGGTCAAATCACAGCAAGGTGCTAGTTCAGATTGCCAAAAACCTGACTGCACTGTAACTTTTGAACGGCTGAACATTACTCGATAATTTCATAGGTATGTTGATTAAAACACATCACAATTGTTTATAAGTCTACTTTTGTGTACAAAGGACATCTTACTATCTAACTATCAAAGATCACGAAGTTTCAGGGGTTTGCTTGAACATTGCAGTATATATTCATATAAAATTACACTGAAAAATGAACTAACTTCAGTAGTATGATTTATACAAATATCACTGCTGACTACTTTTCTACATAGTTATGCACATTTTTCTATCCGCTGCAATATATATTTTATATACTTACATCCTACTTACTTAATCATTTAGTTTTACCTCACCTGGTATGATGTACGACGTTGATCTCTTGCGGTGCTGCTCTCTCTCTCTGTTGTCTGTCGTTCATCCTTAGACCGTCGTTTGTCGTCCGTTAACTTTTTTCAAGAAACGACCTATTAATACATTTCAATTATATGTTTTTGGTAAGATCTACAGATATATGAGGTGACTCTCCATGGGTTTGAGGGGTCGAGTGAAAAAGAGTGAAATCGTCTTCTTCCCAAACTGCTTCGCAGGTTTCGACTAAACCGTACTGGTAGCACCCTTAGCCCGTTTGGATCAATTGTTATACACATGAGATAGGGGTGAGATCAAAAGGGGTAAAAGTGACTGATATGTATTAAATGACATTTTCTTTCAAAATGTTCAAAAGGTTGCAACACAATTTTGGTGATAGTATCCTTATCCCCACGAGGATCAAATATTATACAAATAAAGAGGCTGGCCTCCTTGGGGTTGCGTATGGTCAACGGGGTCCAATTGTCTTATTTGCTTTAAACGACATCTTTTCTCAAATAAACGCACATTCCTTGTGTCGCCCCTTTGAAACTACTGTGCAGATTTCATCCTCATTTGAAATCCATTATAGGTGAAAGATCAAAGTCAAGTTCAAGTTCAAGTTCAAGTTCTTTATTTGCTGAAGTTTTACAGCTTAGGGTAATTACAGTTAAGACAAAGACACTCACAAGGACACACTCACACTGACTCGCACACATCATCCTCATCATCAAGAACACTCACACTAACTCGCACACATCACCTTCATCATCTTCATCATCCTCATCTTCTTCTTCATCATCATCATCATCATCATCATCATATCAGCAACAGCAGCAGCAATCATTCGTCATTCCGCATACTCACATTGTAACACACGCCAGAACCTCATTCACCCAGACAAGACATTTGTATTCAATAAACTGATATACAACATGTATCCTAACATGACCTGTTCTAGTGATGACCTCTTAATAAATCTGCTCTACGTTTAAACGCTAGTGATAAATACTTTCCTAAATTATTAAGTTCTTTTGTCGATTTGCTTTAAATAGTTACTCGCAAACTACTGGGTAGGTTTCAACCGAATTTTGGTAGTTGCATTCTTTGGCCAACATCCTGAGGTTTTCCTTTCGACACTACCGAGAATATTTCAACCTCATTTCCAGATGAAAAATCCAAGGCTCTTCTGCCTCTCGTTATGCCCATTTCATATTATATCAAACCAAGCCATGCTACAAACTGTACTGTACTGTGTAGTATACTCCCACACAGAAAATAGTATTCTATAAGCAATACTACTCACTACAATGCTTGCTCACTACAGCGGATTTTACACCGGTAACACGCAGGTATTCTACTCCTTGGAACTGCAGTATACCTTTACATACGGGTATATGTGACAATCTAAAGTTCAGCAAACAGATTCCACGGGATTTTTCAGAAGTTTAGGGAAATATGTCCAAGTTGTGTTCACATCGGAATTGTGTGTATAAATGGCTTAAATTACTATTGGCAATATTTAGACATTTTTTCTGGTTTTTACAAAGTAGCAGTTGCGAGAACGGAAAACACGAAACAAGTTATTAATCTTGCACTACAATCATCACGATGTTAGAAAAAAAATCTTATCGTAAAAAATAGCCACTCATACCATAGAAATGATTAGCTAATTTATAGGTGAGCATTTGTAACCGGTAGACGCTGGGCAACCACAACGCATGTGGTATTCATGCGCTTTGGTTGATTTTGTGTCGTTATATGAAGTGTAAAGTTCATCTACCTCATAAACAGATAAAAAGTGTCGGCGGGCTGTGTCGGGTAGCGAGGAAACGTTAGATGTTGTTTTATCTAATTAAATTACTGGTATTAAACCTATAAACTCACCAGGTAGCGCCTACTGTTCTAATAAGACAATTCGATTCCAATACATTAAAACGCCACTTCGTCATCATATTGCGCCTTTTGTGTGGGGCCTGGGAATAGATAGCACAGACACGTTATTATTGTGATAGTAAATTAAAAATGTATCGATCATCGTTCGATCAGTCTGGAGTCCACCTTGACAGGTGCCTGTTCCCTCTGTGGTAAGCTAATCATGCGACATACAACGCCATTCCAACGAAATAGTGTCGTATTAATGTGGTTCAACAGCCAGTGCCCGGGGAGGGGTCGGGACGTCCCGGGGGGCTGGAAATGGTTGTCACGAATGTCGTCGCATTGTGTGTTCGGACCCCTTTATCATAACTCTGGACCACCACTAATTAACAGACTGAGAATACCTTTTTGATGGAATTAGATTTACATCTAGTTAATTAAAGTGCTTTTTTACAGGTAAACAGGTGGTCAATTAGTACGGGAGATGGATACCTTTATATATGAAATCAGATTTCAATCGGGTAATTGAACGTTCTTTTTGCAGGTAAAACATAGTGCCGTTTTATTGTTATACGGGTTGCAAAATACATTTTAAAATGCAATATAATCTTGTTCTGTTACAGGTAAACAGTTGGTGTTTTTATTCAGATACGGGAAGGTAACATCGTGATAGGTAATTAAAGGTAAAAGTTGCATGCAGGTAAAAGTGAAGTGAAGCAACAGCTGCTCACCAACGATAAAAGAGATAGGATGATGAAAACGGTGATAAAAACAAGATTCAACTCACAGGTCACCTCATACACGATGAGAAAAATAACATGAAATATGGATTGACCTGATTGACCTGATCCTCGGCCTTATGTAAGCTAGTAGCTTCTTAACCGCCTTGATTTTAAGTAATGACTTAATAATTGTACCGGGTTGCGCAAATCGCTGTGGTATTATCATATCGGTCTAGCGAGGAACAATTCACTAGTCCGTCGGTCTAGCGAGGAACAATTCACTAGTCCGTTCAATAGTAATCGTCCACATCCTTATTTAAATTAGTCAAATGTAGTAATGTAGTAATGTAGGATATTTTGTAGTGCCGTTGCTCCCAATCAATTCAGGCACTGTCTATCAGTTATATGTTGTTGACAAAAATATTAAGACTTCTGTAATTCTTAATAAAATATGAAGAATTACAGAGGTCTTAATATTTTTGCTACTTTTAGGCTCTTTCATATTTCCACAATTCTTCAGTGGTCTGAGCACTCGATTTTTGTGATTTAACCGCTTCAGACATTTATTGTTTTTACAACAATGCTTCACAATGATATACTAGTCTACAGTATGCAAAACATCCTGGACCCTTATGCCTTTTGAATGTGCAAATGGCTCAAGGGCTCATTTCTTATGCAATTTAATAACAGATAAATATCTCAATTAAACTGAAGTTCACCTCTGTAAATGAACCCTAGTGATGTCACCTTAACGTCCAAGACCTTTTATTTCGTTTCTTTTCTTCATACCTTTTTCGTTTATAAACCATACACAAATATAAATCAAATTGTTTCAATGCGAAAATGTTAGATTTAATTTGCTTGCTCCGACGAGGTGGCCGAGTGGTTAAGGCGATGGACTGCTAATCCATTGCGGTCTCCCCGCGTGGGTTCGAATCCCATCCTCGTCGTCTTCTTTTTTTTTCTGTCAATTTTTTTTCATGTTTTCTTATTTATTAGACGTTTACGTTGACACAAGAGTGGCTTAGATTAGATAAAACTGTATTATTAGGACCACAGGTATGTAACACCAGGGACGTATAGTGATACCAGGCGCGTAGCTGCCTATAGGCAGAATATGCAACTGCCTACACATAAATTTCATAAATACACTTTTTTTTACTGGTCCTTGTTTTTGTCGATTTCATGTATAATTTTGCTTTCTGACTGTCTTCGGATTAAGTTTTTTCCCCGTTCCCGGGCCGTCATTAACGAGCCGTTCCCTTGCCGTCCAGTTTTCTTTTGTAAGCCTATGTCTGCCCGGAAAACTCGGCGATTACAATTTGTCTGAACTCTGTCTGACCTCTGAAATCGTTCAGTTAACTTGTATACTGACTTTGGATAACGCTTAAAACATTTATTCACATAAATCACTGATGTTGCCCATCATAAAGTATGCATATTCGACAAATGTGTGATATAATATGGAATAAAATATATTTCCCGATATTTTCTCACAAAAAAATGAGCTTTATTTTCATTAATTAAACTATTGAAATTGCCAGCGGAACACGGGAGATTGCTCCTGAGGCCTTCTATTATTCCAAATTTTCCGGGGGGAGGCCCCCCAGACCCCCACCAAGGGGAGGGGGAAGACCCTCCCATACCCTCCCCCTCTCGCGCTTCGCGCTCGGGTGCTGCCTGCGGCAACACATTGTCGTGGAAAGATCCCCTCCAATTCCCTCCCCCTCTCGCGCTTAGCGCTAACATTCTGCCTACATACCATATTCAACCCAGCTACGCCTCTGGATACTGTCCCTGGTAACATTGAGAACAGTATACATAGTACAGTATAGTATTTAACTGTACAATCACGAACAACAGGAAGTCATTTATATAAAAATAAATATAAAACAAAACATTTTCATAATAATTGTATTTAATAACAAGTATATATGTTGATATATGATACAGTAATTAATCAATAGATATAAGTACAATATTAAAATATACGGGTAAAGATTCTATTTAAACATATTCCCAGACAAATTATATAAAACACATTGATCATAACACAAATATCATTAAATCGCTGTTATTAAAACAAACTGCAATAAAGTTACATAAATGTTGTACCAATGATAAAAAAAACAAAAACATATAATCATGGAATTAGAAAAAGTCTGTATTTAGATAATCAGAAGTTGATCCATCTTTGGAACCTCTGGAACCAGCCGAACACTTTCCGGAAAGAGCTTTCCCTTTTCACGGATTTTGTTGTTTCTTTTACGTCTTCGTCGTCATCATCTGAAGCGAAGACCGACGAGACAATCTATTTTAATCAATAATACGAGTAATCAATACGAGTAATCAATAAGAGTAATCAAAAAGAGTAATCAATAACAGTAATCAATAAGAGTAATCAATAAGAGTAATCAATAAGAGTAATCAATTAGAGTAATCAATACGATTAATCAATAAGAGTAATCAATAAGAGTAATCAATGCGAGTAATAAATAAGAGTTATCAATAAGAGTTTTCAATACGAGTAATCAATAAGAGTAATCAATACGAGTAATCAATAAGAGTAATCAATACGAGTAATCAATACGAACTTTTTGATAGACATTGATAAAACACTGAATGTAAGTACATTGTCAATTTGGTCAATGTCTGCCAATAACTGTGTGATTTGATGGCTTATGTAAAATGTTATAAACAAACGAAGGAAAGAGGTACAAAAGGGTTTAAAGAAAGTGTTGTTTGGGGTAAAATATAAGGGGAGTACATTACATGTAAAGTTATGTTAATTAAAAAGGAGTTACATCCCTTTAATTTTTTTGTTTATAATTTTCATTTCAAAATTGATGTATAAGTCAAATCAAATCCAAAATTACAGAATTACTTTAGCCAGCGTTGGAGATAATCTATATAGACTTTGCCTGTTATTCCACCCAATTGACTTGTAACAACTTTGTCAATAGTTGAAATGAAAATGAAGTCCATTGTCGCTTGTTCAGGTCGTTTCTAACTATTTATATCTACAAACCGTACGAGACAATTTGTAATTTGTACCTACATGTTACTTACCACCAGACACAACGATAGAACAGTATCAAGACGCCATGTTACTCACAACCAGACACAGCGATAGAACAGTATCAAGACGCTGGACCAGCTTACATCGACGTCGACACGACATAGAAACTAATACTGAACAAGTGGTGTCTGAACTAATACTGAACAAGTGGTGTCTTAACTAAAACTGAACAAGGGGTGTCGAAACTAATAATGAACAAGGGGTGTCTAAACTAATACTGAACAAGTGGTGCCTTAACTAATACTGAACAAGTGGTGTCTTAACTAACACTGAACAAGTGATGTCTAAACTAATACTGAACAAGTGGTGCCTTAACTAATACTGAACAAGTGGTGTCTAAACTAATACGGAACAAGTGGTGTGTGTGAACTAATACTGAACAAGGGGTGTCTAAACTAATACTGAACAAGGGGTGTCTAAACTAATACTGAACAAGGGGTGTCTAAACAAATACTGAACAAGGGGTGTCTAAACTAATACTGAACAAGTGGTGTCTAACTAATACTGAACAAGTGGTGTCTTAACTAATACTGAACAAGTGATGTCTAAACTAATACTGAACAAGTGGTGTTTAAACTAATACTGAACAAGTGGTGTCTAAACTAATACTGAACAATTGGTGTCTTAACTAATACTGAACAAGTGGTGTTTAAACTAATACTGAACAAGGGGTGTCTAAACTAGTACTGAACAAGTGATGTCTAAACTAATACTGAACAAGTGGTGTTTAAACTAATACAGAACAAGGGGTGTCTAAACTAATACTGAACAAGTGGTGTTTAAACTAATACAGAACAAGGGGTGTCTAAACTAATACTGAACAAGTGGTGTTTAAACTAATACTGAACAAGTGGTGTCTAAACAAATACTGAACAAGGGGTGTCTAAACTAATACTGAACAAGTGGTGCCTTAACTAATACTGAACAAGTGGTGTCTAAACTAATACGGAACAAGTGGTGTCTAACTAATACTGAACAAGTGGTGTCTTAACTAAAACTGAACAAGGGGTGTCGAAACTAATAATGAACAAGGGGTGTCTAAACTAGTGCTGAACAAGTGGTGTGTGTGAACTAATACTGAACAAGGGGTGTCTAAACTAGTACTGAACAAGTGATGTCTAAACTAATACTGAACAAGTGGTGCCTTAACTAATACTGAACAAGTGGTGTCTTAACTAACACTGAACAAGTGATGTCTAAACTAATACTGAACAAGTGGTGTTTAAACTAATACAGAACAAGGGGTGTCTAAACTAATACTGAACAAGTGATGTCTAAACTAATACTGAACAAGTGGTGTTTAAACTAATACAGAACAAGGGGTGTCTAAACTAATACTGAACAAGGGGTGTCTAAACTAGTACTGAACAAGTGATGTCTAAACTAATACTGAACAAGTGGTGCCTAAACTAATACTGAACACGTGGTGTCTAAACTAATACTGAACAAGTGATGTCTCAACTAATACTGAACAAGTGGTGTCTAAACTAGTACTGAACAAGTGGTGTCTAAACTTATACTGAACAAGTGGTGTCTAAACTAATACTTAACAAGTGGTGTCTAAACTAATACTGAACAAGTGATGTCTAAACTAATACTGAACAAGTGGTGTTTAAACTAATACTGAACAAGGGGTGTCTAAACAAATACTGAACAAGGGGTGTCTAAACTAATACTGAACAAGGGGTGTCTAAACAAATACTGAACAAGGGGTGTCTAAACTAATACTGAACAAGTGATGTCTCAACTAATACTGAACAAGTGGTGTCTAAACTAGTACTGAACAAGTGGTGTCTAAACTTATACTGAACAAGTGGTGTCTAAACTAATACTGAACAAGGGGTGACTAAACTAATACTGAACAAGGGGTGTCTAAACTAATACTGAACAAGTGGTGCCTTAACTAATACTGAACAAGTGGTGTCTTAACTAATACTGAACAAGTGGTGTCTAAACTAATACGGAACAATTGGTGTCTTAACTAATACTGAACAAGTGGTGTCTAAACTAATACTGATCAAGGGGTGTCTAAACTAATACTGAACAAGTGGTGTCTAAACAAATACTGAACAAGGGGTGTCTAAACTAATACTGAACGAGGGGTGTCTAAACAAATACTGAACAAGGGGTGTCTAAACTAATACTGAACAAGGGGTGTCTAAACTAATACTGAACGAGGGGTGTCTAAACAAATACTGAACAAGGGGTGTCTAAACTAATACTGAACAAGGGGTGTCTAAACTAATACTGAACGAGGGGTGTCTAAACAAATACTGAACAAGGGGTGTCTAAACTAATACTGAACGAGGGGTGTCTAAACAAATACTGAACAAGGGGTGTCTAAACTAATACTGAACAAGGGGTGTCTAAACTAATACTGAACAAGTGATGCCTAAACTAATACTGAACAAGGGGTGTCTAAACAAATACTGAACAAGGGGTGTCTTTATTATCATTCCTGATATAACTATAACAATAGTTGATGTTACAGTTTACTATCAGACGAGTTAGATGTCTGACAATTAACTATAAGAATGGAGAGAATAAGTAACAACAGTCATACATTATCGTGAAGGTTCAACACTGTAGATATCATTATACTATATGCTTACTGTGTGTAACTCTGAAGCAGTTAAAGCATGCAAACTTTGATTTCTTCACACTTTCACTTTCATTTTCTTTTTTCTGAAAGAGGAATGTTTCCCAATTTAAGTGTACAATTATACAAAAAAAACAGGGAAAGATATAACAAGTAGCCAACAATTCATTATAGCCTGTCATTATTTTGTTGGATTATATTTTGTTTTTGTATGATGAAAGAAAGTGTTGTTCAGTGTTTTTTATAAACCTGCGTATTTTTTATTCAGTAAACAGATCCAAACAATGTTGGCGTTTTAAACAAGACTATCGAATAAGTAAAGTGTTAAAATGAGCGTTACATGTCACACTTACTGAAAACAACTCCAAAAGCGGGTTAGCTGGCTCGGCGGGGTCTGGAAGTCATAACACAACATTAATTAGGAGTCAGGTCTACTTGGATGTCTTGACGTGTAATCCTGGTTCAGCAATATTCAACATTGCAATAGAAATAACGACAAACTTAAAATAATGAGATTCAGGGAAAGACGACAACTATCAAGTGAAGAGGAATTCCGTATACAACTATATACATTGTTGAAACAATCAGATTATATAACGAAACATTAGCTATGATAATCTCATTAATACTGGCAAAGCACTTTGTACAAAGCAACAAATCGTAACAAGGTATTCTCTTCTTGTATATTTTATAACGTCACACCATACCGTTTTCTGTTTGTGTTGCTTGGCTGATTCGCTCATCGTTGTCATCTGGTAGAGAGCTGTATGCGAATCGAACATAAACATCATACGGCTCTTGGGAACCATCTTTTTCGGTGAAGAAACTCGCAAGATCTTTGTTTTTGGTATACATGGAATTAGTTTCTGTTTCCTCTTTGTCGTCATCGGTTTCTTCTTCGTATTCACTCGTTTCTTCTCCACTAGAGGTATCGGATTCAATGTCATCGTCGTCACTCTCATCTGTTTCATCGTACAGCACGTGGTTTATGATTGGGCGACGAACAGCCTTTTCCATGTAGCCTATAAGGGCATGCACTCTAAGGTCAAAGGTGTCTACTGGAAAGTTAGACGACGGCCTGTGGGCTGGCTGGTGACTCTTCACCTTCACAGGGTAATTATTATCCACAAAATCATCACCGGTATGCGTGATGCCCATTTCAGTCTGAATTCAATAGAAAAGAGGGCACAATTTAGCTAGCAAAGTAGACCTAGTCTGGATCATTTTACGATTTAAACTTAGAAATGACGGAAATGATCATTGACATTTATGAACATCACTGAGCCAGTAGTGTTAATGATATTGACAGAAGTTATATGAAAACCCAACTTCCCAGAAAAACATTCAAGAGAGAAGAGTCTAGATTTTCTGTTATAACTTAAAGCATTAATAGACATTGGTAATTGAAAATAGAGGGCGTGGCCATATCCTCAACTTTAATTCAGTTAACCATCCTAAAGACATCATCTTAACTGATAGAATAATTGGCAATAACTTGTTACTTTTTGTGAAAATTAACACGCTTCTGGAACCTTCACGAACCTTGATGGACGGCTAAACACACCAAAATGTCAAAGGTCTTCAATGCAAGTTGTAACTTACCTTGTATTAAAGATCTTGATCACTTGAAAAAGAGCTCAGGCTGTTGACGTTCAAAATGTCAAAATGTCAAGATACAGTCGTGTCTGTTAGTTAATTAGGTGTTGTTTGGAATTGATAGATAAAAAATGTGTTTCTCCCGCGATAAACTTTGGCGAATAATTATGACGTCACATGGATACAAGGGACGTCACGTTTTCATTACTTCCGCTAGAGAGTTACAAGGCATGATTTACTATCCGTCTGAAATATGAAAATATTTTCAAACGTGTGTGTCAATTATTATATTATCTGTATTTTTCTCATTTGGATGTCGTCAACAACCTCCATGTGTTGATAACTGTCACCTTTACCCAAGTTGTAAAAAGAAATGCATCCCCAAACAATAACTGATGTTACGTTTACATTATGTTCCCGGCGGTCACGGCAGCCCCGTTTGCCCGAAACGTAGTGCGCCGTGGGATTTTGGCAATTTTTTTCTATATTCAAGTTTTGTTATTAGGTCTTGCTAAGTTTTCTCATGGTCTTTCAAGGTATCCGTGACGGGCCGTAAGGGGAAAGGGGCTGCTGAGTCCCGGAGGCTCCAATGCACACTACGGTTCGGCCCGCGGTCTACCACGGATGCCAGTACGTTCCCTCTCGACCCGTCACGTTCTAAATAATAATTACAATAATTACAATAATTACAATAAGTTTGTGAATGACCCTAGCGACTAAACAACGACTGTTTTGAGTACATCTTGACTAAATTAGATGAACAGACCACATGGGCTTTGTGAACAATGTTTACTTGCCGAAATATACGCAATTTAAATTCCAATTCTGCGAGTTCATGCATAATTAATTGTCTGTGGTATGTTCATCAGTTTGTCTCCTTATGATAGCGCAGGACTGATGCTGACTTTATAGTGTCATTCACTGGAGCATACTGCTGAAGACACATCTTATTTTACGATCTTATCTTGTTATCTCACCATCTTCAATAGCCAATGGTTCATAATTTAAATTTGTACTATTCAACCTTGGCAGATTTAGCCTTGTGTTTAATTTCCTTCCCCTGCCACCTAGCAGAGACACTTTACTAGCAAAACATTAAACTTTCAAGTTTATTTCAGCACTGGTCGCCTATGTATTACCCTTGGTTATCATTTACAGTTAGAATATGGCCAATTATCTCTACCAACTGATCAAATACAGAAAATGTTTCTTTAAGTATTGTCCTCCTTTGTTTTTTGACATAAATCATGACATAGTCAACAAGGCAACTTGGTACTGGGCGCCGCCATTATTATTTACATGCACAGGGACTTGGTATTAATGTCTAACCCTCAGTTCACATATGTGTATTATATAATGTATGATATAAACAAAAATTGTGGACCATAGGATGGTAATACGTGCCAAGTCCCTGTGCCACGTTCAGTAATTTGAAAGCTTAGAGAACAAGGCTAAATCCGCTAAGGTTGAATACATGAATATGTGAATTACAAAATGAACGCTTGGCTAGCAAAGAGGAGATGTTACAGGCTGGACAGAAAATGACAACAAAAACAGGCTGAAAACAAGTATGGAATGGGGTTTTCTTAAGAGACGCTGTATAAACACATTATGAATATGTAAAATTATGATGGAAGTTCATTTTACTCGAATTACCTGACGTTATTTTCAATAATTTTCAATTAATAGGGTTTTATAAATCCTCGCAACCACTTTTAAGACATTTGTATAAGAAAGGTCTGCCAAATATCTAATTCTTTGACAACTTTCAACAAATATATAGCAGCTAGGAATTGAGCTTTCTATATCCACTGCACTACATTCACTTCATATTATTTGTTGACATTTTTCTGCTACAGTACATGGAGTTTCCTCAAAAGATCCTGATTACCGGAAAAAAATCTGAAACCTTAATCATATCTTTTAGAATACTGTTTAAAAAAAGGTTATACCGGTACAGTACCTTTCACCTGATATCACGTCTGTTAATGTCACTTTTCGGTTATTATCATGTATTATTGATGCTCATGTATCTCTTCGATTCACTAAACATCATCAACAACAACAACATTTAAACCCTAAATCTGTGAAAAGGAATGTAAAAAAAAAAAGAAAATGTGTTCCGTAAATGTTAAAATATTTCTGTTCAACATTCATATTTACAGTGGTGTTCAAATCCACTAATACCCAAGTTAACATAAAATTGTACTGCAGTATTTTTTGGTCTGTTTTTTGACAGCTAAATAAGTCTCATCAAGGGTCATTGACCTGTCAGAAGTTGAAGTAGCCAAAGTTATTTGACTTTGGTGAAGAAGCATCCTAAAAATAGAAGAAATATGGGCTGGATTTTCACGAACTTGAAGAGTTGTGCCCCTTTGTTTGTTTTCCTATACATCTTATTCTGGCAGTTTATCATTCATATTTTTATTTTTCCATTTGTTATGCACTTCATATACATCTGATGAGAATGGGAGATATTTAAAAATGCACAAAATTCACCAAGAAAGCTGAAAGTCACAAAAGGTGAAACTTTACACCATGCAGGCCAGGTTTGAACATTTTACTGTAATGTTTGTTTTACTTTCCATGTGGGGAGGATTTTGAATGCATCTCGACTGTTATATCAATCAATTAATTTTCATTTAGATGGTGTCCCTGAGAATTATTTCTTATATAATTTAAAATTTGTTTCAAGTGATACTCATACTCTCTGTTTTAAACTAGGAACACTTGCTATGTACATGTACTCTAAGTATTTGTGCAGTTATGATTGATTGTCTTCCTTTTGATAATATTCCTGTGAGTTGTGTCCCTCACATGATTTCCTCACATTCCTTTCTGTTATACATCGGATATATAGTTTGTTACTTTGATAAGTTCCAAGTTTCCTTTTAGATAAAATATGTCATGTTTAGGTGATTTTTGAGAATTAGTGGTTTTGCAAAATTTGCTTATTGTTTTGCAAAGTACCAATATTTTTATGTTTATTACATATATAGGGTGCTCCCATAGCTACCACTTTCTTTGAAATGTAGATTTTCTTCCCGTTGTTTTTGGAAAAAAATATCCAGAAATTTTAGATAGTTTTGAACTTTTGCTTAAAACTTACCATACTGACAATGTCAGACAATTTCAGACATGCGAAACATATAATAATGTGTAATTCTTCTTGAATTTGGTGTACAGATAGATCTTGAATTGACAGATCTGTCAGATCAGCACAAATTACTTGAATTGGAGTCTACATGAAGAGTTATGTCCCTTCACTTTCTTTTCAAGATTACATGATTCAAACAATTTTTATACTTGAGTCATCGAATCTGTCAAAATCTGTCAAACCATAATTTAATTTACGTACAATGTACATAGGATGGGGGGCTAAAAGTTGGCCGCCTGAAGCTGAAGAATCGGGGATTTTCTTTCATGTCTACTACTTGGGGGACATTGAACAGACCAAAATAGATCTTCTGCCCCCATTGCAACACACTTGGGATCTTAAATCTTTCCTTTCTGTCTTCACTGTTCTGCCTTTCTTTGTCGTGCCGCCTGAGAAGCATGGCGAACAATTAAGGATCACTCTGTCCGTTGTCGTTGGCGGCGGCAGTCACATTTAAGTTTCCCAGACTTTTTTTTCGCCACCATTTACCATATCAATTTGTAACTTTGTGTGTGGCTTAATCATAATAGATAACAGATCAAGTTGGAACCACGTGCCAATGTTTTATTTTTTTGCTGGAGTTACATATTTGCATGGCCCTTTCTTTGCACATTTGAAGTTCTCATAATTAACTGTGTGTCATACTTTGTTCGTTACCACTTGCCACTTTAATAGTATGTGACTTTATCATAATGGATTACAGAAAGAGTCCAAACCCTGTGTCAATATTTCATTTGTTGCTGGAGTTATGGCCCTTTGCAAATAAGAAATCTCATAATTAAGGTTTTCCCAGACTTTTTTTCGCTACCACTTGCAACATCAATTTGTTACCTAATATGTGGCTTTGTCATAATGGATTACAGTTTGAGTTCGAACCTCGTGTTAATATTCCTTTTTTTGCTGGAGTTACGGCCCTTCGCTCATAGGAAATTATCAAAATAAACTTTTTTTGGACTTATTTCGCTAACGCTTGCCATATCAATTTGAAACTTTGTTTGTGGCTTTATCAGTAATAGATTACAGAGATTGAACCATGTACATGTATTAAAATTCCATTTTTGACTGGAGTTATGGTCCATTTGCACATAGGAAATTCTCATAATTAACTGTTTTCCATATTATTTGTAACTTAGTATACATGTATAATGGATTACAGTTTGAGTTAGAATCCAGTGTCAATGTTGTATTTTTTCTGGAGTTATAGCCCTTTGCACATGCATTTCCTTCGAATTGTAGTTTTCTTCTATAGGTGTCTCCTTGACACCCGTCCTCATATGACCCTGACTGTTGCCAGGTCATAAATCACCTAATACAGTCCTTCTGTATGGCTTGATGATGTTTTCAAACCAATGGTCTGGAGCATTACTTGGTTAAGAAGACTGAATGCCGTTTAAAGAGGGTCTCTCTCATAATACCCTGGCTCCCTAGGGGGAGGAGTGGGGTCCCAAAGGGGGATTCTCCAATTCAATTTTACAATTTGTTGTTAGGACCCTTGCACATCTATAGTAATCAGGT